TAAATTATTATTAAACAAAAACTTTATAATATATATATATATATAATATGAGTAATACTAGCCTTACAAAGAGGCATACAAAGAGTCATACAAAGAGTCAAATCCAACCCTTGAAATTCATGATTGCCTCTTTCTCTCTCTCTTTTTCCCTTCTTTCAAGGGCTGGATTTGACTCTTTGTATGACTCTTTGCAAGGTTAGTATTACTCATATAATATTAAACTAAGTGAGCGTTTGGTTCGGGGTCATAAAAGATAACACCGGTAATCTATCTTTTAAACCGCAATTGCCATGTTTGGGTGTCAAGTAATCAAAGATTTTGGTAATCGACTAATACCAATAGTGATTATTGTTGGTAATATAGGGGGTAATTCGATTACCATCTGAAAGGGTGTTATTTTTTATTTTTAGGGTTATCAATTGTTCATACTAATTTTACCCTCAATTAATAAACATTTTGGACACAAATTCCCTAATATGTCTACTAAATAACAATTAGTTGAAATGTGCAAAATGACTTCTTTAACCTCATAGATTAATTTTTTGGACAGAAATATCGTCACTATTTACATGGATAGTACTCAAAATACTCCGAGCCACCCAAGACGATTGTTGGCCGTGGCTACAACTGTCGACAATCGTCGAAACAACGCATGATTAGTTGAATTTGGCGCACCGTGCGCCAATCTAACCGTTTTCGGCTAGATCGAAGGCCAAAAATGGCCGTAGATCTAACCGAAACGACCAGATCCATTTTGGTCGTTTCCAGCCAGATCTGTGGTTGTAAACGACCGTAAATCTGGCCGTTAATGGCCAAAATGGATTTGGCTTTTCGGCCAAATCCACGGCTGTCTACTCGTTTTCGGCCTTTGATCTGGCCATCCAAATCAGCGCACGGTCGGCCAGATTCGAGTAGTTATGCATTGTTTCGACGATTATTAGCGACGGCCAATGGTGGTGGCTGGCGGCCAACAGTCGTCTTGGGTGGCTAGGTGTATTTTGTTAATTTTTAAACTCTTGTTGTTGGGGTATTTTAGCTAAATTCTCAATGTAAGAGGTTAAAAATAATATTCTAAATAATAATAATAATAATATTAACAAGGAAGGGCAATTCCGTAAAATATCTCCCGATAATATTTTATTTCTCCCAACCAAACATATTAATCATTTATACTCATCAATCTAACCAAATATATTAGTATAAAATTCCCCAATTAATCTTCACTGCAATCTATCTCAGTGGTAATCCTATATTTTTAATAATAAAAAATTTCCTAGAACAAAAGCTACGTAAAGGTATAAGACACATGGGACATAAAATAAACTATTCTAACACTATGGTCAAAGTATAAATCATGTTCTAGTGAGTGTTTGATGATACATAAATAATCATGTTATGATCATTTCCTTATGAATGGTTTCACCGTATCTACTCTAGTGATACTGGTCGATGGCGAGACGATGTTTATTTTTTAAATTTCATTATTAAATCATTAATTTAAATAATGTTTAATATATTTATAAAATAATTTTGTAGATAACAAGTAATTATTATGTACAAGTTTAAAATATATATAAAAAAAATTATATTAAAAAAATAAGAATGGGTAACTCGTTGCCCTACAAACCCTCTCCAATATAATCCATTTCCAAACTTTAGATAATCGTGCGGGATGGGTTGGGTAAATTGTTTTGGGTTTAACTGCTTAGGTTAAAACTTGGAAAAGTTTAAATAATCTTTCTTTTGTTCTGTAATAACTCTTTCTAACTAGAATACTTGGGAGATATAATATGATAAAAACACATATGCATATAAGTGGAAAGTAATGGGCCCGAAAATTTTCTTTACTTTATATATTAAATTCTTTACATAACAAAAGTATCATATACATTAGCTTAAAAAAACAGTGGATAGTAGTGCCATTTCTCTTCGCTTCTCGACGTCCATCCGACCGTTTTTCACCTATTCCTTGCAAAAACATGTAGAAACAATGGGGTGAGCACTAGTTGCTCAGTAAGTAAATCCGCTACACTATTCTTCTATCTCCATTGCTCACATTTTGAATTTCTTTCCTTACATCACACTTTTGCTTCTTCTCGGTTCTTTCTTTATTCTTTCACTATTTCTAATTCTCACTGTTCTTTCTTTCTAGTTCTCTCTGTTCTTTTTACCCATGATAGTAATCATGGTATCATGCATAGTTATGATGCAAATGCACAAATGCATAGGAATGCATTTTCATTCTACTTTTATGTTTTCTTTCTCTTTTCGATGTTTCTTTCTTTCTATTCTATTCTTTCTTTCTTTTCTTTCCTTCTTCTCTTCTCTTCTTTTTCTTTTCTTTCTTTTCTTTCTTTTCTTCCTTATTCTTTCTTATTCTTTGCCGATCAGACTCGGTTGATGCATGGATTCGGAACCCTGGCCGTGTGAGTGAGTACAGTCCTCATCTACATGCACTCTTACGGACTGTACAAATTCTTTTTCTTCTTAGGCCACTTATTAAAGGTGGCGTGCATGTAGGTATATTCTTTTGGGTACAGCCCTCATCCACATACACTCTTACGGGCCTTACAAATTCTTCTTCTTATTCTTGGGCAGCTCACTAAAGGTGGCGTACATGTGAGAATATTCTTCTTCTTGTCACACACGGGTTCCCCATCGCAACAACCTTTCTTTTCTTTTCTTTTCTTTAGCACTTTTCTTTCTTTCTCTTTGTTCTTTAGTGCTTTTCTTTCTTTTTCTTTGTTCTTTAGTGTGCTTGTATGCATGTATGCATGTAGATGAATTCTTCTTATTATTCTTTCTCAATTCTTAATTAATGCAAAGATGAAATATGGCATGTAAACATGTCATTTTCTACTTTCTCTACCATCTACACACTCATTTCAAATTATTATACTATCATAACCATACATGCATTTCACTTTGGAATTTCATCAAACAAGTGGTATGCACAAACAAGCATTAGATTAGCTACACTTCTATCTCTTTTTCTAGCTACCAAAATTGGAACACAATTCTCTACAACTAACCTCAAACCTGGCCAGGAAATTCACACTTCAAAATTCTATTTCAACTTCTTCATAATTTCTTCAAACTTCCTCTAATTCATCTCATACTAAACACTACGTCTCATGGTGGGGTCAAACCACACTTAACATCAATTTCATCATCAATTCCATCCACAAAACTCAACACTCAAATATATAAAATACATATAGGGAAATTCTCTACTCAAGGATTGCTTAAATCAAGGGCTAGGGTTGGATTTACTTACCTTGAACTTGGGTAGATCCACACTAGAATCTCTCTCTTTGGTAGACTTCCTCTTCTTCTAAAACCCTAAGCATATAAACTATAAGAATTCAACACTTTAATAATTAATCTCACACCTATTTGCAAGAATTCTTAACTTGGGATGCTTAGGAATGAATATCTACTCAAAATCCAACCAAAAGTCCCCTAAAATACCTTTAAAATTGGTGAAGCAAATTGAGAGATTTGAGAGTGAAGGTGGCATGTGAGGTGTAAAGAGTGATAGGGTTTGTATGCTTGAATCCTTAATATCTCATATTAATATGCATACTTTCCTATTTTGCCCTTCCACTTTCTCTGAAATTCCATCTTTGTCCTTTAGTCAATTACAAGAATGCCCTCACCTTTATTGCATTCTCCATGAAATTTCCTTACTTTTCACTCTCCACATTTATAACTAATTAGGGGTAGAATGATCATTTTTCCCTTAAGGAAATTTTCTCAAGTTTTCCAACCAGTTCTCTGCCTCGGCAAAAACTCTTCTTTGCCTCGGGGAAGCATTCCAGAGCATATGTTGCCACAGCAAAATTTATTCTTCGCCGTGGTGAGACTTGCAAATTCTAGAACACGGTTCGGGCAGGAGTTTTTTGTTGCGGCGACAAAGATCCTTTGCCGCGGCGAAGTTTGCAGTTTCCCAATTTTTAGTCTTTCACCTTAACACAAGCAAAACTCAAGGGATTAAAGGCATAAAAGCATAAATAACTTACCTCAATATGGGTGTTACATGTTTATATCTCTAACTTGTAATATAGTATAATGGTTTTGGGAGACTAACTAATATAAAATTCCGAGTTTAAGTGCACTTATGTAGAAAACCTAAACCCTAAGTTAGTAGGATAACTTTTAATTATTAAAGAAGGAACCAAACCCTTTGTTATGAAATCTTCCTAATCTTCAACAAACAATCAAGACAAAAATCACACAATAACAAACCACAACAATACACACAAATTTACGATGGTTCACCTATCCAAATTGGGTAGGCTACGTCCACGCTGAGCTCCGAAATCGAAGGAGCTCACTACACTGATCAATTAGAATCAAGAGTTTACAACAAAGATCCAAAGATCTACACTCACAAACAATCAAATCTCTCCCATAACCCAACCTAAAGAACTCTCCCTTGAATCTGTAAGATCTTGAGAGAAAAACCCCTCTCACTTGAATGACTAACTCTGTAATCACTCACTCACACTAGGTTACATAGATTGATTGTAAAAGAAAAACCCAAACAGATTTGCTCTATCAAACACGAAGAATAGCTGCAGTTTTACACTATTTGCTCCTTTATATACCATTGACCAAGAGTTTTTTCAGCCGTTGGATCTAAAGTTAATCAATGAGTAGGATTCACTTCAGCAGCTCCCAAAACGACGTCACACAACTTATGGCCAAAACTGCACCGTTTCATGTCTTCAACTCAACAATCTCCACCTTGAAGACTTGAAACAGTCATCCTAGCAACCATTAATCAGTGCAACTCACTCAAATCCAAGTCCCTCATTGCTCTAATGCTCTAGCTTAGGTTATAAACAACAAATTCAAGCAGTGCTTGAATTTGGCTATTGTAACTACCTTAGTACCCATATCGGCTGGATTGTCTTCTGTAGCTATCTTCTTCAAATCAATTTCACTTGAAGCCGCCAGGTCCCTCACAAAATGGTAGCGTACATCCACATGCTTGGTTATTTTGTGGTAAACAGGATTTTGCTCAAATGGATCGCACTCTGGTTGTCTGAGTAGATTGTCACCTTTCCATCTATCAAATTTGCCTCTGATAGGATTCCCTTTAACCATACTGCCTCCTTGAACACATTTGCAACTGCAATGTACTCGACTTCTATCGATGAGAGAGCCACAATGGGTTGCAATTGTGATTTCCAGCTTATGTAGTTTCCTTCAAGGGTAAAGTAGTAAGAAGTGGTGGATTTCATTGTGTTTTTATCAACTGCAAAGTCAAAATCTACAAAACCAACCAAATCAAGTGAAGTACCCTTTTTCCATATTCTAATCTAACCCATAGTGTATTGTTAATATATTTAATCACCCATTTTAAAGTAGTCCAATGTTCAGCCCTTAGATTGGACATAAATCTACTTAACATGGATATGGCAAATGACAAATCATGCCTAGTACTAATCATTGCATACATAACAGATCCTATAGCATTAATTAGCATATGGTACAAACTCCATTTTAATCAATTCAGCATCAGTTTTTGGACATTGGGCTTTATTCAACATGAAGTGGCTGGCTAAAGGCATAGAGACCAGCTTTGACCTAGACATACCAAATTTATCAACCAATTTCTACAAATATGAATGTTGATGTATTTTCAATGCAAAGTTCCTTCTATTTCTATTTATAACCATACCCAAAATTTTCTTAGCAGCTCCTAAGTCTTTCATGCTAAATTCAGAACTCAATTTACCCTTTAGTTCAAGTATTTTATCCTTAGACTTACTTATTAATAGCATATCATCCACATAGAGCAGCAAGCAAATGGGCATGTTATCACTCAAAGAGAAATAAAAATAGCTATCATAATTGCTTCTAGTAAACCGTATGCTTACAACAAATGAGTCAAATCTCTTGTACCATTGCCTAGGGGACTGTTTGAGGCCATACAAGGACTTGTGTAAGAGGCATACATGGTTAGGCATTCTAGGATTCAGAAAACCAAGGGGCTGACTCATGAATATCTCTTCCTCTAAGTTGCCATGTAGGAAGGTTGTGGTTACATCTAATTGCTCTAATTCTAAGTTGTGGTGAGCAACTACAGAGAGCATCATCCTAATGGTCTTATACTTTACTACTGGGGAAAAGACTTCATTGAAGTCTATACCCTCCTTTTGGGTGTAACCTTTGGCTACTAACCTAGCTTTATACCTAGGAGGTCCTTATAAGAGATGCCATCCTTTAACTTAAAAAACCATTTACATTGAATTATCCTTTTATTTTTAGGTTTAGGAACAAGGGACCAAGTCCCATTTACCTCCAATAAATTCATTTCCTCCTTCATTGCTGCCCACCATTTGCCTTTGTCTTTTGAATTGATAGCTTCTTCAAAGGATTCAGGTTCTGCCCTTTGCACTTTAGCACCTGCAAGTAAGGCAATGTAGATTATATCAACATAAGAATACCTTGATAGGGGTCTTACCTTTCTCCTAATTCTGTCTCTTGCAAGTTGATACTGTTGCAAGTCTTGTTGTGGCTTTGAGGTCTCTTCTGGTTCAGCTTATTCATCATGAACATGACCATTTTCTCCTATTTCAACTTCGGTTGTAGCTTTAATTTCTGGTTGGGGTGAGTTTGGAGGTTAGACAGTAGGCTCCACCTCAATTTGGGTAATTTCAGTTGAGGTTGTGGGAGTATTAGAGGTGTTTGGGGCTGCTCCACCATGATTGGTGCTTTTACATGGGAATACACCTTCATTGAACACAATATCCCTACTGACTATGATTTTGACCCCTGAAGATTCTCTATCCCACAATCTATAGCCCTTTGTTCCCTCTTAGTACCCTAGGAAGACACACTTGGTAGATCTAGGTTCTAATTTTCCTCCTACAGTGTGTGCATAGGTTGCACACCTAAAAATCCTCAAGTGACTCAAATCAAGCCTTCTACTCGACATTTTTCTTCTGGACAATACAAATCTATAGCTGTGGAAGGGCTCATATTCACTAAATAGGCTGCTGTGGTTAGCGCTCCACCCCTCCCCCTCCTCCCCCCCCCAAAAGTATTAGGCAGGCTAGAGGCGAGGAAGAGACATCTAACCTTCTCTAATAAAGTCATGTTCATCCTCTCAGCAACCCCATTTTGCTGAGGGGTTTTCCTAACTATCCTATGCCTTAGGATACCATTTTCACTACAAAAATTATCAAATTCAGTATTGCAGAATTCTAAACCATTGTCTATCCTTAAAAGCTTTAACCCTACGCTCAATTTGATTCTCTACTAGTAGTTTCCAGTCTTTGAACTTACCTAAGGCCTGGTCTTTAGACTTAAGGAGAAAGACCCAAGCTTTTCTACTATAGTCATCAACAATAGAGAGGAAATAACTATTTCCTCCATGGGACCTAACTTTTTCAGGTCCCCACAAGTCTAAATGAAGGTACTCTAAACACTTAGTAGCAAGGTGAGTTCCCCTTTCAAAACTCAACCTATGTTGATTCCTAACACACAATTTTCAAAAAAGTCTAAAGTAGAAATAGTTTCCTTACCAAACATCCCTTGGCTATTGAGGATGTTCATCCCCCTTTGGCTCATATGGCCCAATCTTAGGTGTCATTTTTCTGTCCCAGAAACATTAGTAGATGCAAGAGCAGAATTATGCAGTTCAGAGTTATAACTACCACAAAGAATGTATAAGCCATTTTTCTTTTCTCTTTTAAGAACAAGGTTCTCATTTTTGTACACAAACAAGCATCCATTTTCAGCTTTATAACTGCAACCAGATTCATCTAGAGTCCCTAAAGATATTAAGTTTCTTTTTAGTTCAGGGATAAATCTAACTTTAGTTAATTTAACCAATTTCCCACCAGTTAGCCTTAGTGTGATACTTCTTATTCCCTTAACCCCATATGCATTATTATTACCCATAAAAACAGTTTCATGTTCATATGGTTCAAAGTCTTGGAACCAATTTTTATTAGGGCTCATGTGAAAGGAACAACTAGAGTCTAGCACCCATTCATGCACACAATCAGTTTTTGACATAATAAGGACTTCAGGCTCTTTTATACGGGTCTTGGTTGAAGCTAAATTACTCTCAGTATTTACCTATTTCTGCTTTTTAATCCACTCAAAGCAATTTTTCTTTAGGTGATTCGTTTTATTCCAGTAAAAGCATTTTCAATTTTCTCCTTTAGGCCTATTGTTTCTTTTTCCCTTTTTCTTGTTCCTAGGACCATTATTATACTGGTTTCCTTTGCTAGATTGACTAGTTTCACCTTTACTCTTTACAAATAGATTGCTTCCATTCCTTCTTTGGTTCCCTAGCTTTTAAGCTTGCTATGACTAAATCTAGACTCAGTACAGTCCCTAAGTATTGCAGTGCATTCTTTACAACCAAATAATCATCAGTTAAAGAATTTAGTAAAATCATGGCAAGGCTGGTATCTCTTAGTTCCTAATCATTCTCCTTAACTATTAAGGTCATTTTTAGAAACTCATCTAGGTTGTCTTCTATACACTTAGAACTATCCATCTTATATGAAAACAATACACCCTTTAAAAATGCAAGATTAGGTGCAGATTGTAAAGCGAAAAGTGATTCGAGTTTACCCCACACAGCCAGAGGAGTCTCAAGGCCATCTACCTTCCGCAGGACATTGTCCACCAAGTTCATGATGATTAGGTTGTACAGCTCTTCATCAATTTTTGCCTTTTTCTTTAGCTTATCCTCAGGCCACTTCTTGACTTTCCTCTCTAGAGCCAGAGCCACATTGTTATGTGAGAGTAGTGCCTTCATCTTTTTCTTCTAACTACTGAAGTCGATTTTCTCATCATATTGGGAAATCTTCATTCTAGTAGTTGTAGACATTGTGTGTGTATTAAAGAAACTTCAAGATTCATTCTAATTGGACCATAAAGGTTCAATTCTAATTTCTGACTCAATATCCGCAATGAAACCCTAGACTTCCAAGAACATATCAAATCAATGAATTTCACCTTTGATTTTATGATTTGGGAACCTTGGAGTGCTAAGGAGACGTCTAGACACAAAAGCCCCAAATTGTTCACAAACCTTAGGTTTCCCTAAACTTTCAATTGAACAAATTTGTCACTCAGAAATCAAACAAGATCCTATCTCCAATGCTCTGATACCACTGTTATGAAATCTTCCTAATCTTTAACACACAATCAAGACGAAAATCACACAATAACAAACCACAACAATACACATAGATTTACCGTGGTTCACCTATCCAAGATTGGGTAGGCTACGTCCACATTGAGCTTCGAAATCAAAGGAGCTTGCTGCACTAATCAATTAGAATCAAGAGTTTACAACAAAGATCCAAAGATCTCACACTCATAAACAATCAAATCTCTTCTGTAACCCAACCTAGAGAACTCTCCCTTAAATCTCTAAGATCTTGAGATCAAAACCCCTCTCACTTGAATGACTAACTCTCTAACCACTCACTCACACCAGGTTACACATTGATTGTAAAAGAAAAACCCAAACAGATTTGCTCTATCAAACATGAAGAACACCTACAGATTTTACATTATTTGCTCCTTTATATACCATTGACCAAGAGTTGTTTTTTAGCCATTGGATTTGAAGTTAATCAATGACTAGAATTCACTTCAGCAGCTCCCAAATGACATCACACAACTTATGGCCAAAACTGCACCGTTTCATGTCTTCAACTCAACACCCTTTAATGATTAACCTAAGTTATTTTAACTTTAAGTTGATAGCCCATAGTTTGGTGGTAAATTCAAGAATTATAAGGTTTAAACCCTTAACCACTAGCTAGAAAATTATACAGAGCTACACGAAGGACCAATGTGGTCCGCTTAACTAATATAAAATCTCTTAATCCATTATTTTTGGGCTATTCGACCAAAAGCCCAAAATTGAACTCTTTAATTAAAGACTCTATTACAGTTAATTACACAATCTACCCTTAAGGTTTTGAATAATTATAGTCGCATGCCAACTTTTATGCACTTAATCACAAAAATATTTAAATATTTATCACTCAGCACAAGGCACCCTTGTGCTAAAGTCATCCAAAATCTTTAATTGTTGATGGGTAATTAGGTAATTTTACTATTATTAGGTTTTTTGTCAACTTATAAAGTTATGTGTGCACATTATTTTATGATTTTTGCACATTAAGTTGTTTAAAACACAATTATGTCTGTAGTTTATACATGTAGTAACATATTTTATAAATATGTGCACATTTCCTTTGTTTGAACTTATTGCAAATATGTGTGCACATTTTACTCTATTGTGTAAACATTTTCCTAATCAGATCTCTTAGTATAGGTGTCATGTTTTTATTACTTGTTTTGATATTTTCCATTTCTGAAATCTGCATGAAAGGTCCATTTACAGGTGTCTGATTTTTTAGAAGTGGTATAGGAAATTTGTTTATGCTTTTTCAGAAGTGGTCCAACAAAGTTGTTGAGAACTTTCCTAAAATAGTCCAACAAGTGTAAGACTTTGTCGGCCGAGTGTACTAGGTGTTTGTTTAGCAAGGATTATATAATATATTCTACTTCCTTGCTTTTTCTTTGAACCTGAATATTCCATTAATTGTTCTTTGAAAATTCTTAAGGAGTTTATTCATTTTTTCGGGTTCCTTTTGTTGTTTGTTCTTTAACATCTCATATCTTGTTTGAGTGATTTTGTTGGAACATGGTTCCTTTGTTGAAAGCTTGAAGGTAGTTCAAGTTGTGGAGCTGAAAGTTGATTCTAGCCATTGAAGCTTGAGTGGAGCTCAAGCTGTCCAGGTGGTTTCTTGGACTCAAGCAACCTGTAGCAAAATGTTGGAGTAGTTAAGAGTCTTGTAGAACAAGGAATTGTTTACAATTGTTGTACTTAATTTCGACTCTGTATTGACTTGGAACGTGTTTGCTATAGTGAATTTGTTTCATCTAGACATGGTCCCATGGATGTAAGTTATTAGCTAAACCATGTAAAAATCCTTGAGTGATTTGCTTTCTGCTCATGCTTGATATTGTGTTGATGTTATGACCATTCCCACAAGCACTAATGAACATAATCAATTCATTCCACAAATGTTTAATGATTTTGATTAAACAAACTTTCAACATTACATCGAACACCAAACATCACTGTCGTTCATCACCATAGTACACCACAAATAATTCAAATGAAAATTCTAAAAACAAAAAAAAAAAAAAAACCATTACCATATCAAACACTAAACATAATTTACATTCATCACCATAAAAGATCACAACAAATTCAACTAGAAAAATTTACAACTTAAAGAAAAAGTAACCACCACCATGAAAGCTCAACAAACTCCTTCCCACTAACCCTTCAGCAATCAGCTCAACAACCACTTTTGAAGAATTAAAAAATGAAAAAGTTATTGAAGATATCCTCAAAAACCCACATCATCACTAACAATCTCACAACTATATCACACTGCTAATCTTCTCCATCACTACCTCAAAACAAACCACAAATGATTATTAGTCAAACAACCACACACATTGCTACAATTTAAGAAAGAAATAGTCACATCACCATTAATTAAAATTGAGCC